ACTCTTCCCATGCCACCTGTCCTTGCTTCCACTTATTATAAGCCTCTTTTTTCATTTGAATTTTCCTCAGGAGCTCTTTATCCTTCCGAAGCAGGTTACTGAAGAGGCCAAAGTCTGCTCTTTTGAAGTCCAGGGCAGTGAGCTTGCTGCACGCTCTTCTCACTGTCCTGAGGATCTCAAATTCGAGCATCTCATGATCGCTGCATCCAAGGCTGCCCTGGAGAGTCACATTTCCAACGAGCCCTTCCCTGCTGGTGAGCAGGAGGTCAAGCACGGCGCCTCTCCTTGTCACCTCCTCTATTACTTGCAGAAGGAAGTTGTCTTCTACACAACCGAGGAACCTCCTGGATTGCTTGTGCCGGGCCGTACCGTCCTTCCAACAGATGTCAGGGTGGTTGAAGCCACCCATGAGAACAAGGGCCTGTGAGCTTTTCCTATCTGCCTATGGAGTGCTTCATCCGCAGGTTCTCCTTGATCAGGCAGTCTGTAACAGATCCCCACAGCAATGTCCCCCATAGCTATATTCCCTTTAACCCTGACCCACAAACTCTCTGTTAACTGCTCACCTGTCCCCAGTGACAGTTCCATACTCTCCAGCCTATCCCTAACATAAAGGGCAACTCCCCCTCCCCGCCTGCCAGGCCTGTCCTTCCTAAAGAGCCTGTAACCTTCCATTCCAACACTCCAGTCGTAGGAGCCATCCCACCATGTTTCTGTGATGCCTATTATACCATACCCCCGTAGACGTGCACACATCTCTAATTCCTCTAATGTATTCGTAGTGTTCAGGAAGTTGGAAACCATCTGCAGTTTTGAGGCTTAAAGTGCTCACAAATATTAAAAATGCAGCATTAATAGCCAGCCAGTTGTTTCCTCCCAGAAGTTTGTAGGCAGTGCCCATTGATCTTGGTAGGGTTTCCATAAAATTCTGTCATTTTCCATCAGAATGAAATTAGACACTAAATTTCGTAGGATTAAACTTTCCAGCACTGCTTTTATCATTGTGTATGGCACTCTACTGCTCTTCGATCTCCATTTCTCTTAGAAAACACAAAACAACTCATACAAAGGTTGGAACAGATCTGCTGGCCTTCCTTGAACAAAGTGCAACTCACAGTGATGATCACCCTGCTGCCTAGAGGTAATCTCACCTGTATCTACTATGGCACTTCCCTAACACTTAAACTGCAAAAGGACACTGTGCTTGTACTTTGTCCTTTGATCTGCTGAATTCTGTTACCTTTCATGAAAATACATGCTTTGTTGTAAAGTTGAGGGGGAAAGCAAGAGCAAACTTAGATAAACACTTAGTTTGGTTGGATGATGAATGGGATATGAAGGGATATTTGCTCATGTTCTCCATAAGAAGAAATTTTACAACCTTATTCCTTCTTCTGAGGCTTGTAAAGGCAAATGACTAGTGAAATACAGGCAAGCAGTATTCCTAGTGTCATTGAGGGACTAGCAGAAGTTGTAAGGAGATGCACAGTGTGTTGTCTAGAAAGTACACATGATGAATGAGCGAAAGAATGATTAAGGCTTTTGGGATGCTTCAGAAACAGAGAAGTATTGGTATTTTGGAATCCAAATTTCAGGCAAAGTGTTGCACTTTGTTACAGAGTCCAAGTAAGGTGAAGTCAGTAAATGTGAGGTTTAAAGAAAAATTCTATTAGTGAAACTTGCTTAGGACAACTGACCTAGAATTTCATGTGTTTTGTTTCTTTAATCATCTCTTAAGGTCCAGAAAACTCAGAATTCAGGCAGCAATCAGAGGATATCAGTCTTCACAGAGCTCCTGAGCAAGACACATTTAGTGTTCCATCACAGAGAGAGGAGTAGAAAAATTAGTATGTGGGCTTCATATACCATTTCCAGGGAAACGGATGAAGATGTAAGGCAGGAAGTGAAAATGGGGAAGAAATTACTACTTACAAGTGCAAGACTGGATGGCAGAAATTGCATTATCTGTCTACCTTTTGGTCAGATTCTGGATTAGAAAACATGATGCAAAAACCATCTGCTCTACTAGATTCTGTTTACGTTCTAACTTACGTCCTTTGAGTCAACAAGAAAGGTAAGATGATGCAGGTTTGAGTGGGTTTAGTAGGGCTTTACTGTGGTGATGTTTTTCAGTGGGGAACTGCACACAAGAATTAGTCTCCTGGGAGCAGGGAGAGAAGGTTCCTTGGGTAGCTGTTAAGGAACAAGCATGTCTGCCCTTTCCAGGCAAGAGTAGGCCTTAAAGGAATTTCTGCCCGCAAAAGCGAGTCTTGTCCTTTCCGTACTTGTAAGGTTGTTATTACTGAGATCTCATAATACACATGAAAGGGTCTGGTCTGCAAAAGGTATGTTGGACTCTGTGCTGGTTAGGCAGTCAGGAATTAGATGTTCCATGCAAGCAGTTTGTATTGCAGCCCTTGGTCTTAGAAGAAGGTTGTGCTATAAATGGACATGATGCACAAAGCTATCCTTAGGCTGTATTTTGGTCTGAAATGACTCCTTAGGGTAAAACTCTAATAGAACTATACCTTAGAGTTGTCATTCAGAAGTCTTAAATGCATTTTCTAGGGTGTTACTTAAAATTAGTGCTCCTACCCACTTCGATGGGTGAACAGTATGAGTGAAGTGAACACTTCTGATAAAATGGTATCCCTGTGCTGTGTCATATCTTCTTGGATGAGTGAGCGGGCACAGGTTTATTCCAGTACAGGGTTTGCCTGCTGCTATCACTTCTTGGTTAATTTTTTCCGTCAGGTGACATTTCTCTTTTTCAGGTCTTTTCCTACAAGACAGGGTATGGTTTTGTTTGTTTTCTATCAAGTTTTTGTTAAATATCCCCACACAGTTGAAAAGCTGGGAATAAAATTAGTGCCTTAGGTGCTGGCACTGGAACAGCTACAGCCGGAGATGGCTCTTTTTCCTATCTGCAGCCAAAGGAAGTGGGACAAAGTATTGAGAGGTTTTGTATCCTGACCAGGTGTGTTCTCTGCTTTTCAGAAATGCCATAATCGAGCTCTCAGCTGGTGTTTCTGCCCTGGAGCATAGGTTTAACAGTAGTGGGAAGGGATTTTTGGTAAAGCCTGGAATACGGTATATTGCAGTGGTTCCTTGCTAACATGACTTCTGTTGGAGTCAGCATTGTCTTGTCCACCCATGTGAGATACTTGATGAGAGAAATTTCTAGAGGTACCAAAAAAGATGTGGTTTATTATAGAGAGGCTTGGAATGTATTTGCTGAAATGAAGGCAGCCCAGATCAGGTTACTGATCTGCTCTTGTGTGAATATTGGAATGGTGACTGTGAATCTTTATTCCTTGGCTGCCATTTCCTAAAGTGTTTCTGTGCAAAAAGGTGTCTGCTCTCTTCAGTTCAGACACCTGAACCTCTGCTCTACAAATGGCTTGTTCCCGATAACTAGAAGGAGCTGTAGCCACATCTCCCTATCAGTAATTTATAGTAAAGGTGCTATGCAGTGGCTTTAAAAAAGCAAATTCAAATCTCCGTCGTGCCATGCTTGTGAGTCTTCATGTTAAATGTGTGCCTGACTTGATCTCAGGATCCCAGCCGCGGTACACAAACCTGTTCAACGGTGAAAAACTCATGTGGATATGCAGGGAAAGTTGCAGTGCAAGACATGGTTTTATTAATTTATACTGAAGCACTGAAACGCCTCTCAAATGTGTCATGAATGGTCACTTACAGTTTCTTTCATGATGCAGTAATACAGTAATATAATACAAGTAAGAATATATACTGTAATTTTTATATATTTGTAAAAAGTTCAAGGTCCTAACTGGGTCACATAATATTTTATAATATAGAAAGTGCTAATTTAATGCATGTTTTTCATTTACAATTGGGTATATTGAGATCTGGAAATTGTTGATATTAATTTTTTATTTGCATCAAACTGATTGTTATCCTTTATTTTGTCATACTGTTGTGAAGCACCTGAAAATAAAGGGTGATGTGATACTTTTCAAAGGTTAAGCTTAACTTTGGTGTGTTTTCTTCCTGTAGGGAAGATTGTCAATGCCCTGTCTCTAAAGTACATATTAAGAGTTGATTTGGTAAACATGACTACGTCACACCTGTTTCACTTACGTTGGAGGGCAAAAACTTCACCTCTGGGGTACTGAAACACGTTCCTGGTGAAATCACTGCAGTAATGTACAGCACATGTGAAATCCGGGATGTTGAGCATTAATGTGTCTTGAATTTTGAGGAGTGCTTCCATTTTCTTTTCATGGTGATTTCTTCTCAAGGCTGCTGTAGCTCAGAGCTTGGGAAGGAAGGCTTTTATCTGTGCTGGAGGAACGACAGAAGCAGATAGCAAATACATTTCTCTCAGTACCACTCCATGATAATCTTGCAGGTAAAGTAATTTGCCAATCCAGGGGTCATAAATAATGTAATACATGATGTGACGTACAGTGTAACTACTCAAAAGAAGAAAAATTGTGTGAATAAGTAATGTGGCTGTTTTGATGGCAGATTATAGTTATGATTCTTGAATAACTTAAGAAATACTGTAAAGACATTTTAATGCATCTGTGTAGTTACCTTGTGAAAGTTCGGAGTATCTCTGAATACACTGAAATACCGAAAGTGTATTTTAAATTTAAAAAGAAAGTGGGGTCCAAAAAGCCTGGACTTTATAAAAAGGAACACGAGTATGCACAAGGGTGTAGGTTTTATTTTAAGTTGCAGAGATTCTAAGAAGCAAAGCTCAGATACGTGCTGATGGTGAGCTGCTGTCAAGAAAGACCGTCACTGAACCATTCTGGAAGTTATGGTATCATTTATATTATCATGTATTGATGTGCTCTTCAGAGCAAGCATACAAATCAAACTGAAATGCTAAGGAGGAGGAGATCTAGAAGTTGGGAAATCTTGTTACAGTTTTCATTTGAATTTCAAAGTCTGCTGGCTTGGATCTATTTTGTATTGCAAAAAATGAGTATATCGGTACATACTAGCACGTTATCGAAGAAGAGAGGGAAGTGGAAATTTCATCACAGACTCGGAAGTGGTGAAAGGGACATGCACTTGGGAGTTCTGAGTTCACTGCAGGGCAGAGTCGGAACACAGCTGATCAAGGTGCAGTCAGTTCTTTGCCCTTCTCGTTTATGGGCTGGAGGAGATTGCTTTTACTCAAACAACGCAAAGAAACTCCTTGTGTTTCCCTTGCTGTGATCAGCTGAGAGATCTAAACTGAGGCTAGCATGGGTTTAAGTGTTGGTAACTTTTTCTGTGCTTTCTTTGTAGTAGTCCTTATATCAATATTGGAGAAATAAGTACCTTGCTTGCTTTTTGTGCCTCCCTCTGAACCTTGCCTACACAATGGCAGTAGAAAGTATTCTCCAAAGCTGTCTTGAAGCAAATCTGAAATTAGTTAAGGTTAGTGAGCAGTTGACTGGCTTCAACCATGAATTTTGGTAAGTAACTTTCCTTTAGTTATAGCTCTTTATTGAAGGAAATAAAATGAATTTAGGGGTAGTCTACCTAGACTGTAGTTGTGGAATGCATAACTTTTCATTTGATTGTGCTGTGTTCCAGAAACTAAGAGAATAAGAGACAGAGCTGGGTACGCTGTAAAATGTAAAGGTCATTTCTGTTTGTGCCTAATGGCATTTGTTGTGTTTGTTGTTACCGAAGTAGGCACTGTAAGAAGAAAGCTGCTGATGGCCTCTGCAGCCCGTTGTGAGGCCTGGTCCAAACCTGTTGCATTCAGCAAAATGCCAACAATATCACAGAAAGGCAATTTCTGCATCCCTGTCTTAATCCAGTGTCAGAGCCCCAGGTAAAGGTGCTTGTTTATCACACAGCCTGAAGCCGCACTCGGCAGCTCTGAGCTGGAACCAGAGAGGACATTCCCTGTCAGCTGGAAGAACAAAGCATGTGTGTGAACACACGTTACGAAGGATCACACCATTTCTTTTACTGAGGTGTATGTTAATTTCTCTGTTCTTTGTGAGTGTGATTCTGGGATCTGTTATAAAGAACTACTCTGACAGGGCTGAGGATCACTCATTTGTGGGTGGCTTTAACAGTATAAATGACAACAAAATACTTCAGCAGTAGCTGGGGTAGATGCTCACTTTGGAAATGATGAGCAGGGAAGATTCTAGTAAGCCTTTAAGAAGTCGTCTAGGGAAGGCAGTATCTTGGGAGAAGATGTCACATTCCTGTCCATGATGGCTTTCTCCCTGTTATTCTTTGAGACAGTTTCAAGACAGTCGTGAGGTGTTGCTGGGCATGTTTCAAAGCAGCTCATGGTGCAAACATCAAACCCAGGCTTGGAAGAAAATGCTGCAGCCAAGAATCAGAAACTTCCAGGTAGAAGGACAAACCTCTGGGGTATAACTTGGGCTATTGACTTTGTCATTCCCTTCTTTTACCCAAAATTCATCTCCCCGTTTTATGCAGGCAGATTTTTACTTTCTATCCCTCCTCTTTATATACGGGTATATACTGTTCAAGGTCTGCTCCTAAAATTAAACGTGGGGAATTTTTTTTTTCCTATCAAATGTTTTTATTTTTAAAAAAATCTATATCTGAAAGAGAGCTGCAGCTTCCACTTGTGCTACATTTGGGTACCCCAAATGAAACAGCACTGAGCTGAGTCACTAGCAACAGAGAATTATCATTTAAGTTCAAGCAGTAGTCTTGGTATAGACTCCTGTATCAACAAAATTATTTGAAATACTTATTTCTCCTAGCTGTTAACAAATGTTCTGGCAACAATGAGGAGGAATATGCGTGATCCTTCGTGGCAAACTGGGGGAGAAGTTTCGGTAAAGTCATGATACTGGAAGTCAGGAAATCAAAAGAAAACCAGGCATTGCAGCCATGTTTTGTAATGGAACAGGTGGGTTGAAGGAAGAAGTGTTGGCAGTGTTCTATGTGCTGCAGCTGTGATCAGAGCAGCAGCAACACCTCATTTTTTCCCTAGGCGCAAAAACATCTTGAGAGCAGCCTGCTAATAACCTTTAATCATAATTTTTATACTCTTGATCCAGGTCTTTGATGTGTCTTTTAAACCAGTGTATATTCAAGGAATTTCATCGTCGAATACATCTGAAGTTTATCTCTAAAAGGTAACATAACCCTAAAATGAGACCAGATAAATGCTTGTGACAGACACTTTTGTGTGCTGAAGCTCCTGTCGTTAAAGGAATACTTCGTGTATGTATTTGAAAGTTCAGAAATAGCAAGATTGATGAGACATTCTTATGGAACTACCCAGTTGTCAGAAAAGAAACACGCTGGAGAAGTTATCAGGAAGTATCTGCTCCAAGTTAATTAGTAATCCTTTATAGAAGAGGATGCTGTAAAACGAGCTCAAAATCCATGATCCTCACCTTGCTACAGTAAGGGTAGCAGAAAGGAGGGTGCGTTTTTCTCGCAAAAACGGGAAGAAGCTTTGTGACAATCGGCTTCAGGATGTGTGTTCTGAAAGCCTTGCTGTTCATCCTCTTTGCGGCCAGCGATGCACTGGATGAAGAGGCTTTAGAACGTAAGGCATGGCTGCTTTGTGGCTTTAGAGCTTGTCAGAATAGGGACGTGTCTGTCAAATTCCGGGCTTACCTATGGTAGTGCTGCTGTGGTGTCGCAATCCCAGCGGTATCGCTTCTGAGGGAATTCTCCTTGTGGTTTAGGTGGAGTTTATTTTGAATACCAGGAAGACAGTGGAAATGTCAGGACCTCTGTGTGACAGCTGCTTGCCTGTTTGCTGTTAAAAAGTGTTTCCTAGTTCTTGGGTTCGGTACTGCCAGGAGCATGGGGATATTTTACAGACACAGCTGCGCGAGGCAAAAACGCTTTTGCCTTGGCCAGTGGGGAGGAAGGGGGTTTCCATCTTTTTTTTGAGGTAAAGGCTGCTCATAGCATAGTTCCTCTACCTAATAATGCATCAGTCAGGAGTGTTAATCCTTTTGTTGCTGGTGGAAAATCCCTCTTACAATAGCAAACCGGTGATATTAACGATGCTCTGATACTGACTTTCCCCCTGTCAGTTGCCAGGTAGGCTCAGAAGGATCTGCTCAGAGATCTCTGCCAGTTCTAACTTCCTGGCTTCATTCTAAATGTGCATCTTATGATAAAAAGTTACACAAAATATTATTCAGCTGTATTGGCTGTTTTGGGGTTTTTCAAGTATCATAATGGTGCTTGGCCTTACAACGTACAGTCACAGTTTTGGTTTTTCTCCTGGGCATCTCCAGTGATGTCTTGCAGTTGCTTGTTTGGTCACACATTATAGGTCAGGATGTCAGGTTCATCTCCCTAAGTCATAGACTTCAGTGGCTTTGCACCAGAACCTCTGTGTCAGCTCGTAGCTTGGTGGTGTGTGTACAGCATTGTCCTGGTTTCAGCTGGGATAGAGTGAATTTTCTTCCCATTTACATGGTACAGTGCTGTGTTCTGGCTGTAGTCTGAGAATGGTGCTGATAACACAGTTTTACTTGTAGCTAAATGGTGTTTATACTAAGTGAAGGACTTCTCATGCCCTGTCAGTAAGGAGGCTGGGGGGGGAGGACAGACATCTGCCCCAAACTGGCCAGAGGGATATTCCAGACCGTGTGGTATACTCAGCATATAAACTGGGGGAAGGCTGGCTGGGGGCCGCTGCTCGGGAGCAAGCTGGACATCAGTTGGCAGGTGGTGAGCAATTGCATTGTGCCTCACTTGTTTTGTATATTCTGACTTTTATCACTGACGATATTATCATTACCGTTTCCCTTCCTTTCCTGTCCTGTTAAACAGTCTTTATCTCAAACCATGGATTTTACTTTTTTTGCCAGTTCTCTCCCCCATCCCACTGGGCTGGGGGAGCGAGCAAGAGGCTCTCTGGTGTTCAGCTGCCTGCTGGGTTAAATCACAAGCAGCATTCAGTCTGAATCCCACACTGGAAAGAAACAGGTAGGAGAGAATGCAGTGCTTGAGTGTCAGACATGGTGACTTTTGATGTCTTTATTAGCTTGCTGATGAGGAAGCTATATTTAGACAGCCCTATGCCTGTGAAGTGTTGTTAGCACTTAACTTCTGGAACGTGATTTACAGCCCACAGTGTTTACACAGCAAAAGAGATGGAGGAGAACCGACAGTAACACAAAACAAATCCTTTTGTAGACCAAAAAAGGGAGGAATCCCAATGCAAAACACACAGAAAGGTTTTAATTTGGGTTATAATTAATTAGAAGGTTTGAGTCTCAAGCGGGTTTCATGAGTTTTAGCCTTTGCCAACAACAATCCAGAGATGATACATAATGCAATTCAGATACAACCATACTTCACTGATGCGATAAAAATCCTAATAACATAAGCCGTACAGTTTACTGGCTAACTGGAAGATGGGTACAAGCCAGGGGGAAGTAATTTCAGCTACACCATTTCTCAAATGGTTTCAAAACTTTGAAGGGGCGGGTCACTGGAAAGCAGGATTTAATATCCAAATAGCCAGAGTTCATCGTGTGAATTACATTTCTGAGGCAATTAAGCCCACTAAACGGTATGTTATGGTGTAATTGCAATAACTAAGTATTGGGTTTGTTTTCATTCACAGCCAGCTGCACTGGAGTTAAGGACTTTGGGGCCTGCCTGGGTAACACAGACAACTTCTGTCCTACCAGTATTTCTTGCCAGTGTAAAAATGAAAAACCTTTCTGCAGGTAGGGGTGGTGGTGGTTTCTTTGTCTAAATATGTACTGTGCAAGTGCAGCTCTCAAATATAGTCTGAATGATGAACTAAACATAGACTTTGCAGTGTTGTGATTCATGGAAGTAGATGTTGCTCATCATTCACGATCTGTATAAGCTCGTACAAAGCATCAAATCTGGGCTCTGGGTGCAGCACTTTCTTTTTAGAGTATGTGTAAGCCGTGTAATTTATTGGGTAGGTAATCACTGTGATCCTCAACTTTCACAGTTCACTACTGGCTTGGATATTTTACCGTAGAACTGAGTTATGCTGGGTAATGGCAACTTAACTTTTGCCTCAGGCTGACCAAAATTCCTTGAGAGTTAACAAACCCTCCGGGTATCTTCATCCTGTTCTTCATTACGTAGCGTTTTCTTCGTCCTTGTTTTAAAACAATCTAGTCACCTGAGCAGAGAATCTTGTTCCTAGATCCAGCATATTTGTTTTTTACATATGGCTTGACCCCTTGACTTGACAGGAAACTAGCAAGAAAATTATGCAGCCCATATGATTACCTGGTGGATTCGAGGCAATACTTTCTCTGTGGCACAGTCTGTTCATGGATGTGCAGCTAGCCCCCAGTTGTAGCCAACAGAGCACGCTGTCTGAATGTTAGTGCAACTCCAAAGAAATAGAAAGCTACATTCTTGAAGCTATAATTATGTGTTCCAATCATATCCAGATGCATGCAAATGCTGCCTATGAAGAGAAGAATTTTCTGTAGTGGGAGATCAAGGGCAAACTTTCAGAAAAGGTTCCCCAAATCCAGCCTGTTTGCACTAACAAATGTTGCAAAATGCCCATCGAAAGAACCTTCCCATCATGAGAATTGCTGGGACAAAACCGGAATGTGTTCTAGTGATGTCCTTTGTATTAGCAGAGGAGGTGATGCTTTGGGAGAGCAAAACGAGAAGCCCTGAATTAATGAAAATAACTTGGCTTTAAGAAAAAAAAGCACATTCTTATCCCATTCGAAGTCTTGCTCTTAAAAGCAGAAGGGACATCATAGTCTGTGATCTCCTGTGGGTGGTGGTGCTGCTTTCTCATAGAAGGTGCAGAGTGTTGTAGTGATAGATAGAGTGTGACGTCTCAGTTACAGCTGTGTGGACTGGTTTGGAAGTGCAGAAGCTTTGCCATGCTTACAGCTGATAAAAAAGAGATCTTTGACCTGAATCATGACTCGAGCAATATACCCTGTTCTCAGTGAAGCTTAGTATCTCGGACTTACTGGAATGCTAACTTGGACTTGGTTGACCTAGAGCCTGGCACAGTGCATTTGCATCAAATCTGGAATAAGTTGTATGTTACTAAGAGGAGTAATATCTTCAGGCAAGCAGGAAAAATACGGAATCCCTTGACCTCTGTAGCATTCAATAATAAATAATCATATAGCAAAACAGGTTACTTTTGTTTGGTATTGGTTATTTTTAAATTAAAAGAATGTTGCTAAGAAAACAGTATTTTCATTTGCAGATGTGATTACTACAGAGTGGACTGGCAGGAATATTGGTACATGGGCCCCAAATGTAATCACCGTTGGAACACTCTAGATTTCATTTTAGTAGCTACTCTTCCTGCAGTAGCACTGGTTATCATAGCTGTTGTAATATTCTACTGTGTCTACCGCTGCAAAAGCAAAAAGGCTGGGTAAGTTACTCTGGATGCAGTTAAAAGGGGTTTTATAACCAAACTGGAAGTAAAGCAAAATAAAAAATGAAGTGGTGTTCTGATTAATTCTTAACCTCTGGATATTTAACTCAACATCTGGCATCCTCTGCTAAAATACTCAATTTAAAATCAAAGCATCTTACCAGAGCATTTAACAGTTCTTCAGCATTTTACCACTTCTTACCATTGCTTCTCAGAATAGTTAGGGTTGGAAAGGACCTTAAGATCATCCAGTTCCAACCCCCTGCCATGGACAGGGACACCCCACACTAAACTGAACCATGCCACTCTTTTCATCAGGGCTAACCAGGCAAGCTTTAAAATCAATAAATATGTCTACAACTTTAACTCAAGGCTACCAAATGTGTCTTGCTGATTTATCTGCTGTTAAGGGTTGCCTTTATCTCCACAAGTGTTTTGGCTGTTATTCCCTTCTCTGGAAACAAGCAAAAAGCAAGACTAGTAAACACTGACGAGAGTCTTGGTGATTAAACACAACTCCTCCCATTCTTGGGTCCCAGGCACTGGAAATTTGAGCTGCTTTTTGATTTCATCACTTTATCTTTTTCCCCCACCGACACCTGTCCCGGGTGTATAGACACCATGTTCTTATTTCTTCATTGAGTCCCATTGGTGTGTGTCGCTGGTACTTCCTCTGTCATAGAAACTGTAGTTAGACATAGCTCTCGCATCGCCGTTGCCACAGCACATCTAAACCTTATGCTGCGGCTGTTGAACCAACCAGCAGGACAAAATGATTTGTCAAAACCCTCAACGCTGTCACTCATGCTCTGAATTCTCCTTGTTCCTCCAACCAGGAACCAGATGAATTCTCCATACCGAGAAGCACACCAGAACCATGCGTTTACTCCTGAAACAGCTGGAAACTTGGGGCACGGTTACCAGCAGTCACCAAGGGTAAGAGATGTTGGCGTGTGGGGATGTGACATGTTCCCAATTCCAGCAGAAGGCAGGCAGGGTTTTGTGAGGCAGCAGAATGGGTATGCAATGAGTAGCAAGAAAGGGTCAGCTGGTAAGATTAAAGGTAATCTGAGTTTCCTTTTCCTGCTGGGAGTGATGCTTTCCAGTGATGTTTTTGGAGGCTGGGGGCATCAATGGAGATGATCAGAAGGATATGGCTGTACTAAATGTGTTGTCATCTCTCAGCTGCACGACCTGTGAATGACAGCATGTAACTACTTGTAGCATGTAAACCCTTGCAGAGTTCTAGCTGTATTTGTTTAAAATTCACCGCCTACACCTGAGTCAGTTTTGGGGCTGGAATATTTGGCCATTTTCTGATTATTTTTTTTCTAGAAAGGAGAAATTGCCTAACTCAAATCTGAAATGAATTCCCTGCATCCCCTTTGTAACAGAAGGGTTCACTGGGACCTTTGCAGCATTCCTGTGGGACAGAGTAGACAGTCATCTTTTCCAGGGTTACAGAGGTAATGTGGGACCGAGCTGGACTTGAATGTTGGTCCCCACAGACCAGAGTGTGAAAGCAGCCACCTTTGTGGCCAGGCTCGGGTGCTGCCATGCCAGCCTTTTCCATTAGGTGACATGTGCTTCATATAGAGATCATAGCTTGAACTAGTGGAGATCAGAAGAGGGGTAAATGCATCTCAAAAACCATACAGGAAATACAAAATACAAAGCAGCTTGAAAGGGAATGAATTTGTGTCTGTGTTCTTGTCCTCATTCGGGACTTTGGTGGTTATTCTACATATGAAGCAGTGAATAGCGTTTGAGAAGAAAACATTTTAGGCCGGCTGAGAAAAGAAAGAAACTCATCTAGTCTGATCCATCATTTCCTGTTAAATATATTTGTCAAGTATTGATGCCTTGGATGCGCAGTGGGGAAAATGGGGCATGAGCCTCCCTTCACCAGGAGGTGGTGCTGTTTAATCCTTAACTAACTGAGAGGGCTGCAGTGCGCCCTCCTCTCTCCCGCTCCAGGCTGCACGCTGCAGCCCGTGGGATGTTTCTGCCTCATCTCCTGGCTGGATGTGGTGGTCATGAAAACGGGGGCTTGTAAAAAGCCATTGATCATTCTCTGAGCTGCTGCTGTCGTGCCAGTCAGGCAGCGGTGTCTGAGAGAGGCGAGAGAGGAAACCAGAATCTGCATCTGAAAGCATCAGTTCCTGCAGGTGAGCTCCCCTGAACTGCTGCTCTCCGGAGGGTACACTGGTTATGAAAACTACTTCAGGTCATTCTATTTTTAAACAAATGAATTTTATAAATTTATCTATAATATATATATTTTATAGATAAATTTATAAAAATTCTATTTTTAAGCAAATGAACATCACGTACTAGTTTTACGAACCACATGGAACACTTTGTTTCTTCATGGTGTTTTCCTTCTTTCCCCAGCAATATGTTTGGTAAGCCAGCAGCCAGTCTGTAAGCTACAATATTCAACTTCTCTTAATTGTATTTAGTTTAATTGTTGACCCCTTTTTGCATAAATCAGAGAAATTCCCTGTTACTTGTGGAGTAGCAGCATCTTTCTGAAATGTGTACTCATAAAAGACAACAAAACGCCCAGGCCTTGCTAAAACCCTTAATACCTGGTTTATTTAAGTGTGCAGAGTCTTACTGGGCTGGATGTTTCTGTTATACCTTAGAGGTACGTTTTCTGCATTACCCAAGTATGTAAGGGCTTTTCTTCTGCTGAGTCTTTTAGGTAAACTGCATTTATACATTTCAAAATGTCTCTAACAAGCACTGTATTTAGTAACTGATAAATGGGTTTATACAGGCTGTCGTACCCAGTGAGCTGTTCTGTAACTTGCTGTCATTTTGCTCTGTAACCACCTGATCCCCTGCATACAGGATGTCTGGGTTGAAGGAATTCCAAAACCCGTCCTGAGAAGGCAAGACTTGGATGATGTCCTAAGCCTGAATCAAGCAGAGAACTGCAGGTAAGCTGCTGGTTTGCTGTCCTTTTGCTCATTTTCACTTCAGCTCTAGTTTGGAGACCTAAGAATTACTTCGTAGCTTTGCCAGTGGTGCAGCGACTGACAAAGACCCAGTAAACAGTGAAGCTGTTGATGCATTATTCACGTAACTTCTGTGGCTTGAGGCTTTGATAGAAGTTGTTCTTCTGGGTATTTATTTCCTTTGTTCTCCTGGACCCTGCATAATTCCAGCAGCACCGCTGCAGGAATGCTGGGGCTGTTTTGTACATCATTACTAAACGTGAACTAGCACACGGGACCAGACTTACCAACTTGCTGCCTAAGACTTAGTCTGCTTCCCCAGTGAAAAAGGTGTGTTTACCTTGTTTCTGAAGCTAAATCCTGAAACAGGATTTATCCAAAGGCTCACACGGCTTTCCTCTCATAATTACAAATGGATTCATTTTCATTACTTTTTGGAAACACAAGTGTCCTTAGTTGTGCTGCTTTAAATTCACCTCTGTTTGCAGGATGAGGGTTTGACAGAAAAATGAACTTTAAAGGCAGAACACTTACATGTCTTCATGTTATTGCCTCAGTGTCATGCATGCAGAAGTGAGCTTTGTTATTTTTATACTTCAATTGAAACTAACCCTTCAAGTAATCTGCAGTGTATTATTCCATGTTTTTAATAACCTCTTTCACCTGTTTTGCACAGCCCCGTGCATCTTCAGCCATTAAGCAGACCAGATGCAGCAACAGGCTATTTTTCTAACCAGCGACATCCATCAGAGAGATTTGGCTATCCAAGTGCTAATCTGCCTTATGCAGATTATGCAGCAGGGAGACAGTATCAGGTATGCATTGATAACATAGCTATTTATATATTCGTATCATCTTCTGTCTTGGTACTGAGTATGAATTATCATAATCCAAATTGTTAGTATCTATGTCACTAAGGAAAGATGTGAACTAATAAAAAGCCTAAACCCCATCTTTTACTATATGGGTGTTCTCTATAGGATTAATTTAATACCTACTAATTCCATTCTAGGCTGGGTCAATTCTGCAATGTTTCAATCATTTTCTGAGTCATTTACACTAAAATACTACACCTCCTGGTAGTATTTAAGTATTAACCCCAAAAGGGTTTTCACCAGAGAGCCCCCTAAGAACAGCCACTGCAGTCAATATAGATATCCCTGCAGCACTGGCAGAGGAATCGCTACAATTCTATGCTCTCACTCTAAATCCTGAATAATGATACAACAAATTTCCACTGCTGCGTGAAAAAGATGACTTAATAGTTCTGTCAGGTACTTTCCTCATAGGAAGCATCCTTCCTTTGAGACTCTGAGGCTTCTGTTCGCCTCCCTCCAACACTTCATAATTCAAACTTATTAAAGCTTAACAGGAAGTTGCTACCGTGTTTTACATACAACTAGTGTGACACACACAAATTATTTATTCCAGAATAACCAAGTGATCTAGCAGGCATTTTTAGCCCCTAACAATTGCATGATTTATAGACAGATGTACTTACTGTAAGGAAGACCTTCCTGTGTCTAAAACACTCAACCATACCAAAATTGCTAAATGTGTTAGGCAACTACCAACGTCTGTCTGGCCCAGCTCTTGAGAGATCACTGTTCCATCATTACAGTTGGTTTAAGCCTTTGTGTTACTTCTCTATAGAAGCTATTGATAACTGGTATAAATTATCAGTAAAAAAACAGGCATTTTTTCTTCCTAATGGAGTGCAAAAAAAGACAAAAAATGGGTCAAGTTTATTGCAAAAACGCATTAACATTTACAAAAATAAACCCCATGGTTCAGAAAGTCATGTTTCAACTGCAGAAAAGTATTAGAAGGGTGGGGGCTTTGTAAGTGAGAGAACACTTAAATCCAAGGGAGCTGTGATAGGCTTTGACTGTCTTTAACGAAGGTGAGAATATTGCCGGTGTATTTTATTGTACAAGTAAATCTGTTGCAGCCATGCATTGTATCAGAGCCTGCAATCTGATTTATCCATCTGAGGGATGTTCTTCCCCTCTCCCTTCCTTAGTTTGTGTGCACTGTCTTAATACGTTCCGTTATTTGCATGAGTATCATCTCCCAAAGCTCTTAGTGAGTACCCATTCAGAAGCAGCACAATATTGAGATACTAATAAAAGAAACATCTAGATCTAATTTGATTAGACACACATTATTTTAATGGCAAGCAGACCGGGGACCCTATGTCATGCTACTGATTTCATTCTAATCTCTTCACAGAAATACTAAGTACCAGTGCTTCTTATATCTGAAACGTTGTGTAATGCTGCATGATCAATGGACAATCCAAATGCTGAGAGATCAGTAAGACCCTGTGGGCTGGGACACAGAGGAAATAACCATAACTATTAGAAAGCACTAAAAATGATTGCAAAGAAAAGGCATGGAAGATAACTGGAGTCTGCTTTGTTTACTGTGTAACTGTTGACAACTTTTTGTGCACACCTGTTACACAAGTGCTTCTAGGTGTTGCTTAACTTGTTGCACACCTACTCGGACACGGGGTTCTGCTGTTACTAACCGTATGTCCTGGGCCTAAATGATGTGAAATACCTGTCACAAAAAGCTGCCCTTATGCAGAAGAAACTCATGGGAATTCTTCTCAAATTACAGCATGAGAAATGACAAACACACACGTTAATCATCATTCTTCCTTGTTTGCCTCCCAGGATGGTTAACCTGTATCAGAAGGAAAGGGGTTGTGTGCGTTTGTATTTCTCAGGAAGGCTTGTCAAAGGCAGCTTTTGCCAAGTACAGTTTTTGTTTCCTGGTGTCCATTTGGCTCACCTGTTTATTTGGGATGTTTGTTCCACTCAGTGTCATGATCCCCCTCTGCATGCTGGTGAGCTGTGATTCCAAATGGATGCTCTTCGTAGGACCATGAATTTCTCTTAACTGTAACTATGATGGTTGCAGCATGCAGAGCCTATGCATGTACCAGCTGTACCTTGATTGACAGTGATTTGGTTTTCCCCTTAAAGAGCCAGTGTTTAACAAAAGAAAACAACAAATCAGACACAGTTTTGACCCGTGTAGCAAGATCTTAATCCTTGTTACACTGATCACCTGCAGAATGAGGTGGAAGGTGAGGCTCTGTTCTTGGGCATAGCCATGGAGTTTCACTGACACCGGCAGCACTGCACAAATGTGACAGAAGTACTGGCTAATGCAGCAACCTCAGCCTCTAAGCCCATTCACTTGTCCCTTGATTCTTTTTCACTTTGTCTTCCTTTGTTATCTTGTTGATCCTTACAGAAATGGTTTGCCTTAAAAAATGCAGTGGCTTTGTCTGTAACCTCTTTTTGTAACTAATGCCAATAAATGAAGCTATGGAACAGCGCTACCTTCAACACTAACAAACAAATTAAAGATACTGAAGTCCTGGATATACGTTATCCATTTTCCCAAAAGTCTCAAGCACATTATTTTAACATTTCTATTAAATGGTTATTTTTCCTTAGTTTCACATATTACCTAATACTATCAGACAAAATCAGGATCTATGTTTTTAGAAACGTGAAAATATTGGCATTTCAATTTGAATTTCCAGCACTCCTTTGAAAAGCAATGGGAGAAAGAGATAAGGCAACCCTGGCAAATACACAGATAACCTGGCAGGAGAAGCTACCTGGAAGGAGGGCCCTCACGCTGTTTCAATTGTGTTTACAGAGAATTATCAGTCAAATAAAAATCGCTGTTTTTTTTTCCCTCCTTAAAATCTTTTGCTGAAGGGCCCTGAAAGCTTTCTCAAGACAGAAAATTAAAATGTAAATAGTTATTTTATGATATTTTGATGGGAAGAGCGAGCTAAGAGCACATCTCGGTGTAAACTGAGAGCAGTGTCTATAAGGGCCTGGGCCTTCCCAAGTTTCTCAGCTGTTTTGTGTTCTTAGTGCCAAACTGCTGACCATTAGCTTTGATTTTAAAATACTATTTACAATAGTAATTCATTGCTTGCTGTCACCTGAGCCCTGTCTAAGGAAGAGTTTGGCCCAAAGAACTGGCACAGCCTCTAACCAACAAGCTTGTGAGAAAGAAAACGATGGTTTTAAAAAAGGAAAGCAAGTTCAGCTACATCCATGTTTACAAAATTGAGCCTCGAGCTGCTAATCTGGAGTCTCAGTTTAGAAACTGTTCCATTAAATCCTTCAGTTTGGGATGGGATGGTACTGTACCTTCCTAGGGCAAGGCAGCAATGCTACAAACAAAACAACCCAGCCAAAATGTTACTAGAGTGTTGTAAAGTGATTGATAGGAGTGTATTGGCTGATGCCAATAAAGCATTTTCATGGTATTTAAATACACAGAGGAGAATAGACAGAAAAATCTTGAGATATTGATAGAGGCAATCGGAGTTACAGATAAGTTTAGGATTTTGACTGTATACCAAATTGTGGCTTTCTGCCTCTGTCCTTTTATTAAACATGAGTGGACCCCTTTTTCTATGGCTGTGAAGGAAAGAACAGCTCATCTGTTTACTAAGCAAAGCAAACCAGATTAATCTTTGAGTCATCCTAAGTAAATCAGTTGCCAGCCGTTAATGCTCAGTGTTTCTAAGTCACATGCAATACATGGATGAATTGCAGCTAGCTCTGTATTTCATACGAGAATGAGCCTTCATTCCCTAACACTAGACCAAATACTGCTTGCAAAGACACCAGTAAAGCGTAACTTTTGGTAAGTCATATGATCTTGAAGACTCATAGGATTCTATGAGAAGTCTCTCTTGGACAGAGGAGTGGTGCAATGAGAGACATCAGCTACGCTTCAGTCTGAATAAGGAATGCGCATAGTCTTGCTGAGGTAGCCATAACTGAGGGGAAAACCCCACTGCAGTAAAAGCATAGCACCATGTTCCATGAGAAAAGAGGTTTCGGAGCACTGGTGTTTCCCTCCTCTGTGTGCAGTCAAACTCCCGGACTTCACACTTGACTGCTGTAGAATGCTGGCTGTCTTGATTCACCCATCAACCCCACACAAACAGGTCTATGAACTCATCCTCCTTCACTTCAGGGGTGGCTAGTCTTAGGTAACAAAGGCTGTTACTGCATTTTGGTTACTACAAGTTCTTCATGCACACTTGGCAGCGGCTGACCCGCGTTCGAAGCTGTCCTGCTTTCAGAGTTTCTGAGGGAGGAGCACTGACAAACTGCTGCGACTGCTCAACCGTCGTCAGCCAGAAGCTGTACTTGTTTGCAAAGTAATGGCACGTTCCCCGCGCCCCGTTGCATTCAATGAAGGGAGTAGCACGGAAATCCTCCAGGCAAGAGCCAGGGGAGACGAGGGACTGGCCTCCACCTTCTGCACCAGCCGCGGTATGCTGAAAGAAAGATGGTGATTAGGAGTGTGAAGGAACAGAGTGGGAGGGAAAGAGGGGAGTCCTCCAGTTGCATTGTTAAAAGGAATAAAACAGTGATCCACAGCTACAGCTGGGCTGTGTGTACCTGTTCTGAGTCAGGGATAGAGGTAAATCATCACAAAATCCCAGACTGGTTTGGGTTGAAGGGACCTTAAAGCTCATCCAACTCCAACCCCTGCCATGGGCAGGGACACCTTCCACTAGAGCAGCTTGCTCCCAGCCCCTGTGTCCAACCTGGCCTTGAACACTGCCAGGGATGGGGCAGCCACAGCTTCTCTGGGCACCCAGTGCCAGCGCCTCAGCACCCTCCCAGGGAAGAAGCAAAGGCATGTGCATGGGCTGAGTCTACAAAGGAAAACCAGCTCGTCCCTTGCAAGATGGGAAAATTTGGGAACAATAATGCTGACTTCATTGTTTTCTACCACTCTTACACTAATAAGCTTCTAGGAGAGTGCAGTGGAAAATGTTCTACTTTTTCTACTAAGAGAGGGGATTAAGACAATGCAGTAGCTTGATTAGCATTTCCATATTTAAAGGTTTGAAGAGCAAAGAGTATTTGTGACAATACAGTACTATGTCAATGGTACTACTGAGCTTGAGCAGCACAGGTGAATGAGAACAAACCTGGAAAGCCTGCAGCAGGCCAGCTGATAAGGAAGACATGCATGAGGTGAGGAAGTTACAGGGCTCTAGTTCGCTGTAAGCAACTCACAGAATACAGTCTCAGTCACCTAATCAAAGAGGACATCTAGAAGTGTTTAAAGCTGCCTTTGCCTTAGCAACAGTACCCTTACCATAAGGAAGGAGTATCCTATCCATAGGCTGCGCCAACCGAGGGGGCACTGTGGGATGGTGATGTCCTGGCTGTGCACAGCCACGGCCTGGGATGGTGCCTCACACACGGAGCAGCGGCTGATGTACTGCGGGATCTGGCCGCTGTCCACCGGCATCATGGGGATGGGAGCAGTGGTGGAGAGCCAGTAGGACTTGTCATTGCGGCTGGCGTAGTAGCACACTTCGTTGACGTTGCAGTAAATAAAAGGCATGGTGCTGAAGCGAGGCAAGCACGAGCCAGCAAAACCTGGAAAATGGGAGGAGTGGTCACACTGAGCATCTGCCAGTGCTGCAGCTGGGACACACCAGAGGAGTGGTGGGGGACGGCACAAGTGATGCTGCTCCCAGCAGAGACTGCTCATTTGAAACAGGGTTTTGCCCTACATTGTTCATGCCTGAGAGAAGTCTGTCAGCTCACCAAGATCCTGGTTGTGTGACTTTTCCTGCCCCTCCACGTACAATAAGCTGTAGCCATCCCAGAGCTTATTCATTCCTGTGGGACAAGGTGGGATTTGGTCTGACTGGCTGTGCTTCACTAACGTGTATCCAACACCCACGCTCCGACCGGGCATTCCTGGCAAACCAAGCAAGCCCGGCTTCCCAGCGACACCTAGAAGACAGAAAAGGAGTCGCTGTTACTGATCTGCAGTGCTCACATCACCTGGGTCTGTACCCAGTTTTGGCATTGCTGCCATTGTGTTCATGTCAGTCTGGGACAACGAGGAGCCCAGGATTTGATGGTTGTTATATAAATAACCAGACTTTGCACTTCCAAAAGCAGCCATTCCACAGTAGCACCTGCCTGTTTCCTACCTCGTTTCATTTCATTTCTTTGCCCCCAAACTCTGGTGTCACTGTCTTAGCACATATCCACACAGTACAATAATTCTCGGGATCTCTAAGTACCAACCAAAACCTAATAAATTCATTTTTGTTACAGTGCTCTTCATGATGATATTCCTTTGATACAGAAAGCCAAAAGTTTTACAAGTCTGTGGCAGAATCCAACCCTTCTCTCTGTCACTGTGCCTTCCCTCTGCTACCCACCCCTCACAGCAGTGGTCACTGTCAAAGCCATATGGCTCCTTTAGAACTTCGAGGTGAGTCCCACATCCACAAAACATTAAACCCAAAAGATGCTCAGAACTGTACCAGGGAAACACCAGCAGTGACAAGTGACATCATCTTCGTCACTGAAGATTTAACTGACTTCATTGCAGATACAAGGCACAAGGCCATGTGCATCCCCTGGTCTTCCTAAGGTTACTGCTTGCTGGGGAGGGTCTCTGCAGAACCGGGAGCAAACAGAACTCTACTGATTGCACCCCTCTGATCTATGCTCCCACAGCATAAAATTACCTTCAAATCCCTGTGGGCCTGGGGCACCCGAAGGTCCTGGATCCCCAATTGTGCCAGGTGATCCAGGTAAACCATCACGTCCTTTCAAACCTGATCTTCCTGGCAAACCTTTTGCACCTGAAATCAAATACAATTATTGCTATCATTGTTTCTTCTTCATACTAATGACTTCACTTCAGCAATCATATTCCAGAAAATATGATGTATAATTAAAGCCACTGATTTGATCTCAATGAACCTGTCTCTTCACCTTTCCCAATATTCAATGATGTGCATCTGACTGACCAATCTCTAAGAAGTCTCAGGGCAGTGAAGGGTGTTCAAAATACAGCCTCAAAAAGAGGCTTAGAATTTAGTTGTATCTAACAGGAGGTGTCTGCCTATGGATGTTCAGAATCCATTCAGGGCTGTCCTGACCCCAAACCAGAAAGCTCTGGCATGGGTTGGACGAACCAACAGTAAGTGTTCAGGAAGTTACAAGTTAAAATACAACAGAACGGTATAAGGCGGGAGGGAATTGCACAGAACCAGATACTGAGCGTGTGATCAGTAACGGGGAAAGTCAGTATAAAGAAACATGACTGGAAACAGATGGGTGAACATTTGCACAACTTCTGTACAGACTGGGCGTTAAAAATAGTATAAATCATTTCCCAACACACCTCTCTTTTCCCTGCTCTGCAGCACCTGTTACCCAATTGCCTGCCCAGCATTAACAAAGGCTCACTCAGCGGTTACTCCCTATACTAACATTTAAACTCCCTCAGTGGCAGAGCTGAGGAAGGAATTGTGGGCCCAGGAGAGCCACCTGGTGCAGGAGCCACCCAGCTTGCTTTGCCAAACAGCAGGGACCACAGT